TACGTGGGTTAAGGAGTGAGAGTGACACTGAAAGAATGTGAGTAATAAAGAAAGGGAAGTGGAGTGGGCTTTTGTCATTCACAGGACTTGGCTCACTGCATGGAAAGATGCTACTTCCTGCTTTTTATTTGACTCTGAATAGTTGGCCTTCTGTTGCCAGGGTAACAACACATGTTTTATTGTCCATTAACATCAACAGTTTTGTGTGCGTATTACCACTGTGTTCTTTTTATTACTGCGAGGTAGCTGCCAGTAGGTCAAACTACAAGTCTGCTCAAATCTACAGAAGCAATGTGCGCTACCAAGTGAAAAAAAATGAAGCGTGTCAAACACGCTAATATTTCTATTTTAATGCCATGTAAAAACATTTTCACATTTGTCTGCATACCATGACTAGACTTATAAATTAGGTGTTTCCACAGCTCACATTTATATAACCACACACAGGGCTGATCCAAGTGCTTCATCATGGTGTGCCATCGGATATGATGCCAACTATTTTAATCCCCAACCCCACATTGTTGCGCAGGTTTCACAGGAATGCTCACACATGCACGCAGGGGAAACATGGCTCACTTCAGCATTTTCCCTCGAACCCAAACCTTTAAACATACCTTCAGAGTTTAGGCAGTCTGGTTCTGAGACAGCTGACCTCAGTGAAGTTCACTCTTTTCATACATTTCTGTGGCCTTTTTACTTGCTTCACTTTCATAGCACAGTGCTGGTGTGAGAGATGCAATGCAGACATAAGCCTTTACTTAAAGCTGTTATTGGTGTGAGGGTAAGTTATTGTGACTTACTTGCTTGTGACTTACACAGATAATGTACAGAACGTGGATTTTCAGGCATGTTGCTGGTTTCTATTTAAAGCCATGCACTGTTGTGTATGTCCACAGAGCTTTATTGACATTGAACTGAAATAAAGTGTGTTGGGAATAGAAACGTGAAACAAAGGTTTCTAATGTTCTCATACAAGCCTGGTCACAATGGTCTGTTATCCACCCTCTGTCCTTTCAGCTTTGAATGTTCAGTAATCATTTTTTGAACTTTCATTAGCATTTGTGCAGAACTCAAGTGACAGGTCTCAAGCATAGTCACGCAGTTTTGGTGCCAGCCCTCTCATCACCATGTTAAACTCCATTTGCTTTCCACTATGAAATAATTAGTTCTGTCAGTCAGCATCAGAATAACAGTTTATTTACATGAGAATACGGCACAGCAGAACAGTTAACGTTTGGCATCTTGGCACTGCCCACAGAGAGAGAGTGAGAGAGCGAGCGAGAGAGAGAGAGATCAGGGGAGAGAGGATGGCAGATATCTTCCCCCGGACTAGAGCCAGGGCCTACAGGTGGATGCTGCTGTGCTACATGGCCATGCTCTAACTGCGCCCAGGCTGTCAGAGCTCCGTATCAAGAAAAATGATCCCCCTGTGCCACTTGATGCCTGTGCTCCTCGTCCTGTCCCCGTTCAACCATCAGCTGATTGATGTGATGTCCTGCGGTCATAGCTGGCCTTGTTCACTTGCAAACATGAACAAGCAGCAGAGAGTATTGTGTTACTGCAGGTCCTTTCATGTTAGATAGACTGTCCCTCGCTCCTCTCAGACGTGTGCTCACTCACTCCCCGCTGCCGTGCTTCTGCTTACCTACTTTTACTCGCTGTTACCTGTGTAACGGTGACTGTAAGCATCCCTCCTTCTAAAGGAGGATGGGTTCAGTTTGACACAGTCGTGCCCTTAATTGAACCAGCGACAGACCAACATAGTATCACAATATTCTGTCCCTCCCTGCTAGCTGTGAGCTTTTCCTTTGGGGTTTTACAGGATGTAGTTTATTTTTCTAAACTAGGCCAGACTGATGTAGGATTTTTGAGACCAATAGCGATATGATTTAGTTTTGCACAATATGACTCTGCAGAGGTATTCAGAAATGTTCGTTCTTAAACAAATAACTTTATTTATTTTATTATATTTAATTTAAATGTTAAATAATTTCATATATAATTGTCAACCAATTCTAGTTGACATTGCTGAGAGCTGCTTCTTTTTACTTATCTGTGCTGCTTGCCACGCTATTGTAAATCTTAGTGCACACTGCTGGAAAAACTATGCAGTGACACGAATATATTTCCACAAGCATTTTTTACTGCATTTCATACCAGGAAAAAAAATGTTTTCATACCGGTGCATACTGGATAACGGATATACACTGATACCAATACAAAACCAATATCTCTGCAATACGTCAAAATCTGCCGACCGATATATCGCAGTCAATATCACGAACTGTAAAGACTCAACACCTCAACTATTTTTTGCCAATAACAAAGAAAAATCAAGAACATGTCAATCAATAGCCTACTGGCGGTGCCACTAATCCCACTCGCCAGCTGAATAATTCATAGTCAATTAGAGCTGAGAGGCTGAAGCTGTCTTCATGGCACAAGTGCATTTTCAATGATTCATTTCATGAGCTATGCAAGGGGTCTCTTAATTGTTGTTTACTGCTCACTACCCGACCACATGTTATTTTTATGCCATCGTGATTACTCCCGGCAGCGCTCAGAGTGCTTGGGAAATGAAGTCCATTAAGGGGTCCTGAGAGCTGTTTTCCTGTCAAGCGCCATGAAATGCTTCCAGGTTCAAACTTAACTGCACAAGAACAATAAATCTCATCCAATCTCGAGTGTCAGGAACTGAGATGCATGAAGAGATGCATGTGGTATGTTTTATGGTTCGTCAGTGCAGTAAAAATACCTGCAGCGTTGTACGAAAATCCATTTTTAATAGGATCCCCGAAGTACAGTTTCAATTGCAGAAACAGTGAAATCATGTGGAAGGAACATTAAAAACCACACAGCTAACTGCTGACCATTGCCACAGACTACAGGTCGATGGTGTCAGAAAAGAAGCAGACTTGGCTTCTCTTTGAGCTTCCTTTTGTTTGTTTGAGTGGGGCAACGAGAGAAAGTGAGAGGACTAGATGCCTGAGGTCACTGCTGACATAGTGTGACAAGCTGTAAAAGCACAGCCTGAATTCTTGTGTGACAGATGACTCCTTTGACAAAAATAGGCAGCTGGATCAGAGAATAGCACTGTAGCCCTCCAGCGGACACACTGATGGGTTTTTTATTCCTGAAACCTCATACCTCAGCAAGTCCATCCACTTTGAGTATCCCTCATACATGCAGACATGTGACTGTTAAACACACACCTATGTCAGATGTTCACACAAACATTTAAACCTCCCCTCTGGTCATTTTGCCCTGAAGGATGCTGGGACCTAAATGAGAAATGCTGACGAAGTACAGTGTCACAGCAGCACACTGATGTTGAAGCTGACAGTCTGCATTACATGTATTTTCACTGAAACTGTGAGGGCAAGACTGGAGCTCATTTTTAGTAGATTTTTAAAAATACCTTAATATTCTTCCGATCTTCACAGGCCACTCTGATGAATGTGCTGAGCCTCCGTTTAATTTGTCGTTTACTTGAGGGACTTCTTGAGAATCCTGGCAGTAACGTCTTTCCATGAGATCTTATCTGGCCATGCAATGCTTGCACCTTCTTTCCTCTGAACTCGTTCATTTGACAGTAATTCAGTTCAACACTTTTAAAGTAATGGCAACAACAAGGAGATTGTGTGTGTGTGTGTATTTGTTTGAGAGAGATGGAGGGAGCACATACACACTTTATTGTGGCCTCTGTGGTATTTCTAGTGACTGATTGCAGCTCTCATTACAACGTGTTTGTGTTCAGCTCTGTTGACACCTGTTAGAGGTGACAGAGGTGAGTTTTATAGAGAACCAAAGGCTTCCCTGGTATGTGTGCCTGTGTGTGATTACATATACCTCTTATAGTTTTGATTGCATAACACACACACACACACAGCACACACACGCGCACCACACACACTACCACACACCACACACACACACACCAGACAGTGTGAACAGTTTTCTTCCTCTTTCTCTACTGCTATCAAATCTGTGGTAAGTCTAAGCCTTTGTTTGCATTTCATTATGGGCTCAGCTACATGGAAGAGCTTTTTATTAAGGTACTCACTTCCACAGCTGACCATGCAAGCTGTGGAAGTGAAGATTTAGGAATGTCACTTTAAGCTGACAAATGTTGACATTTTATTAATGTTGTTTATCGCTTAGCCAGAATTGAACTGTTTGTGTTGAACATCAATGTATGTTAGTGGCATTTTGATTTAAATTTAAGACCACATTCAAAAGCTTTTCCTGACTGGGTGTGGTGAAAGCACTGACAATAACTTGCAGTACTAGCTCTTGCATTTAAATTATGTAAACATGCTGTGATTCTAGTGAATCCAGATGGTTCAAATGAAACCATATTCATTTAATAAAAAACAGACATGTAATACAACTCTTACTTGGAGGAAGCCAGAGCTGTTTTCCATAGCTGCTTCTTCTCTCTTGCCCACAATAAAGCAAAAGAGTTTTTATCAACACATAGTGTGAATAATTGTAATGAGAGATTTCACCTCTGTTGATAACAAGTTTCACTGCAATTTAATTTCAGATTTTCTCGATTGTTGTTAGCTGTGACTTTTCTCCTTTGTGGCAGGGAGCCTCACCTTGGCAGCCACAGTCCAGCTGACCATGCACATAAAACTCCCACACAGCAGGTGAAATATGTGCCACAACCTTCTGAACAGTACTGAAAAGGTGTAGACGGGATTTATACATGTGCATTTAGGGTCACAGATAGAGACAAACTTATCATGAAACACATGGGTCATTGGTGCCTTTGAAGGCGGTGACCTGCAGGTCTTTGTTCCTCCCTGGCCTGTTAAGGTTTCACACATGGCCTCAGGTAAACAGGAGTTTTGGCTCAATAACTGCAGAGAAGAATAATGATTTAGAATCCTGTTTATTTATATGTTTTAACTTGTGTGTTAATTTGAATATGAGAATCTTTCTGGAATTTCCCATGCATATAAAAACTCTTTTTTTTTTTCATCCACCTCTCACAGCGTGACTGTTTTGTGGAAGGAATCCTGCCACAACACACCACTGAGGTCTCCACCCGCGGCTCCGTGTGACGAAGTCTTAAGAAACAACTCTTCTCTGTCCCTCCTCCTTGGCCCGGCGTCTCCACCTGGCAGCACCGACCTGGCTGCACAGCACATGGTGGTCACTACCACCACCCCGGAGGTGCACACACTCACCACTCACCTCTCCTCCCCTGTCATGTCTGCCTATTAACAACAACCATAACAATGAGCTCCCACAGTCGATCAGGTAAGATATAAAACAAAAGTAGTAGTAGTATTTCACAAGAGGAACTCGTGCCCTCTTCTGTGCATGTGTAGTTGCTTTGATATGAAAAAGTCTTCTGCTATTGGGTTAAAAAAATTATTATTATGATGACGTATACTGAATTTGAATAGGAAGTTCATACGTTTGTTCTTTTGTGACGACTACCCTTACAACAAAGCACTTTATAGGGCTTATTTATGCATGCAGTGTTTTTAAGTATATGGCTTAATACACAGATAACCGGTTTCATTCTGAGTATATGGATGCTTCTTTTGAGAACCAGAAGAGAAAAACCCAAACTAATTAACATGTGATAAGTTAATGTCAAAACAGTAGAAAAATGTTAAATGGGAACATCCTTTTCCTAGATGTAGTTGATAATTTGGTGACACTTTGACGAACAGACCAAACCTGCTGTTTTCATTTTGCATTTTCTACAAAGGCTCTTCAATCCTCCAAAGAGGGATTTAATATGGTTGACAGTTGGCAAAGCCACTAACTCCAGCATGTTGCATTGTTTAAACAGCAATTACACAGCGGTGTCTTGAAGAAGGCAAATGTTTATTCAAGTGTATTTTTTTGTGGTTGGTTTAATTGATGTGATTTATGCAGCAAAGTATGATTTTTAGGTATGAAATCCAGTTATTCACTGAGGCTCTGAAGTGAAAATGGGTATAAAGGCTGTTAGTTGATGATGTTGCTGAATTAATATTTTAACCTTTATGCTCCAAGTTTATTATTTTGTCTTAGTTATCAACTTAACTGTTCATTTGACTTGCGAGCCAGTTGCGTAGCTCTCTGTAGTCACAATGTACACTGTGACATAGACACACTGTACATGCATTTTGTAGCCACACGTATATTTCAGCCATGTTCTTACAGTTACTGATGTTGTTACCACTTCAACTAGAGGTTGTTGGTAATATATATATATATATAT